TTTTGTGGTTCGTGCTCAGCTGTTTTCGCTAGACTGGAGTTGTGGGTGAGGTTTGCTGTGACTCTTGTCTTGTGTCAGTGACTGTACTGGGATTGTTCATCTCCATGTGGATCATGACAGATAAAATTGGTACAAATTCTACCAGAAATCTTGGAATTTGGGCTGGGAGCCAGCAGCCTTACAGCTGGAGAAACCTCCCAGTGCATCTCAGAGTCAGGGTTTAAACTCTGAACTAATTCACACAGAGCTTTCAGAACAGAAAAGACTTCTGCAGCTCAGAAGGTTCATCTCCAAAGTGTCTTGATACAGACTGGGTGGGCTGTAAACTCCAAAATATTCAAGCTATGGATGTAATCCTTCATTTCTGCCGTCAGTGGTTGATTCCCTACCTTTCCCAACCTAAAACCAATTTCCAGAGCACATTATTTGCTCTCTAATAATTAATAATTGCAGCCTGTTTTCTGGCTTGGTTTGAATTGCTTAATTTCCTGTGGTTATGTGCAGTTCTGCAGGGTCTGGCCAGCATTTCCTCGTGGATCAGGGCTCACAGAACCCTGGAATATCCTGAATTACAGGGGGCCCATGAGGGCAGTGAGCTCCAGGCCTCCCAGCAGCTGCAGTTTCATCATTACCCATTTGTCATCTCACACCGTTTCTCTCCCAAAAATAAACAAGTTGGAGCAGTTTAAAATCAAAATATTTACTAATATTTAACAGATTATGATTTTAAATTCTGCACTGTTTCTTTGGCATTAGCTTTGCTTAGCACAGAGACATGCAGCACTTTATTGCTTGTGTTTCTGGGAATGTTTCTGCCTTTTATTTCCTGCCCACCTCTGTGGGTGTCTCTTGGTTGGTTTTGTGCAGAAATGGGTGTCACCTTCTCCCTTCCCCCCTGTGTGTCTCCTTGGTGTCTTTCCCCTCTCTGTGGTGCCTTTTTGTTGTGTTGGTGCTTCCCAGGCAGCCTCAGGCTCTCCAGAGGTGCCAGATCCTGGTTCTTTTTCCCTGGAGTGAACATCAAGGTGGATAATTCTGTCTCTTGCCGTCACAGCTGACCCAGGTGCCTCCTCTAACCTCACAGCCACTAATTCCCTAAAGCTCTGAATTATCTTCATCCCTTTTTCTCCACTGAGCTTTGAATTTTGTGCTTTCAGGTGTTTGGGTTCAGAGTGGGCTGACACCGTTGAAAATTCCATCAGGAATTCCAGGGGCAGGATGAAGGGAATGGCTTCAAACTGATAAAGCAGGGCTGGATTGGATGTTAGGGAAAAATTCCTCCCTGTGAGGATGCTGAGGCCCTGGGATGGGTTTTCCAGACAGGATATGGGCTCACCATCCCTGGAAGTGCCCAAGGCCAGGCTGGCCAGGGCTTGGAGCACCCTGGCATGGTGGGAGCTGTCCCTGCCCATGGCAGGGGTGGCACTGGGTGGCCTTTAGAGTCCCTTCCCACCCAAACCCATCTGTGAGGTCCATCCCATGAGCCAGGAGAGATCCAAGTACTTCCATGGATTTTGGAGCCTGGTCTGTGGCACAGCCACCCCAGATGAGTGGCAGCAACAATGCCACCAAGCTGTGTTTGTGCTGGAGCTGTTCACCCACCCTGGCCCAGCTGCTGTCCCCTGTGCAGGGACACCCAGACACTGCCACCTGTGACCTGTCCCAGGTGACAAAGCCCTGGTGTGACCGAGGCCTGGCCAGCAGCTCTGTCTCCTGCCCTGGAAGTGGGGAAATGAGGGAATGAGCCTGGACTGCTGTGGGTGGAGCCAGTCTGGTACATTTTGGATCTTCTGGAGGGCAGAGGATGAGTTTTTAAAGGAAATGGACAATTGCATGTTGTGCTGAGTGTGAGGCTGTGAGAGCTCTGCTTTTGGTCACTTTTGCCCATCTGTTTTCATAAACTTCCTTAATTCCATAGAGTTTCATGTCCTTGCTTGCTGTACTATTGTAACTTTTTCTGCTTTCAGACTTGGCAGCTGCTGCTAGCTCTGAGTTTTCTGTTCTTTCTAAGGCCTGCTTTTACAGCTTTCTGGAAGTCTTCTTACCTTTAATATTTCCCACAACTTTTGCCCATCTCTTTTCATAAACTTCCTTAATTCCATAGAATTTCAGTCTGGTTTGGCTTGGACCTCAAATCCCACCCAGTGCCACCCCTGCCATGGCAGGGACACCTTCCACTGTCCCAGGCTGCCCCAAGCCCATCCAGCCTGGTCTTGGACACTTCCAGAGATCCAGGGGCAGCCGCAGCTGCTCTGGGAATTCTATCTCAGTCCCTCCCCACCCTCACAAGGAGGAATTTCTTCCCAAAATCCCCTGTGGCTTCACACAGCAGCACAGTTGCTCCTTGGTGGAGGATTCTGTCCTTGGTACAGAATTGAAAATTTCCATACAAGAAAAATGGGATTTTCTGTGTCCTGTCCAGAATAATTTCTTCTTTTGGACAACATCTGGTATTAAAAAAGATAAAAGAGATGTTAGGAGAAGCAAACTTGGGGCATTTTGTTTTTATCCTTTGAAGCATTTTGAAAGCCTGGAAGTCTAGAATAGCCACTGACATTTTTTCAGAGCTTTATTTTTGTATGGACTTGCCAGAAGGTCCCCATGTCCGTGGTATATTTAGCTGTACGTGCTGCCATGACTTAGCAAAATCCCAATTCCAGCCTGTTTTCACCCAGCCTCTGCCATCTGAGCCTCAGCTTTGAAGGAAGGCTGCAGAAAATAGGTCTGGAGATGCATCCTGGCTCTTGCCAGCCTTCCAGGGACAGGGAATTCCAGAGCTGAGGTTCTCCCCTGGAGCCCATCTTGCCTGGGCCCTGGCAGGGTTTAAGTCCAAGGACTATTTTTAGTAAGACAAAAAACAAACATTCCTTTAGATTAGTGCTGGTCAAAGGGAAACTCCTGCAGAAAGCAGTCTGGGGATGGGATTTGTGCTGGGACTGAGGTGAGATTTTCCTCTGGGGGGTTTGATGGGCAGAGTTCTCTGTGATCAGGCAGAGGAGGCTCCTGGCTGCTTCTGGAGTCTCTGTTTTAACCCTTCCTGCCCTTGTTCTGCTCTGGTTCCTTTTGGGAAGTCTGTTCCTGCTCTCTGATTGTTCCTTTAATTTATCTGATCCTTTTTTTTGGGAGGAGAGTCCTGATTTGAGGTCTGGACTGTGGTGGGAAAGGGTTTGGATGTGTAATTGGGGGAAAGGAATCACATCTCCTTTTCCATGAGTAATTCCTTTGCATTCCTCCTCCATTAGAGCTCCCTCCATGATTTCCTCCATCTCCTAATCAATCAACTAATCAATTTTATTAGCTGCTCCTGTCCCAGATGTTGCTCTCCCAGCCTTGGGAATGTCTGTCCCCACCCACTGTGGCTCCAGAGTCACCTGGAGATGGGAGGGAAGAGCCCTGGGAGCTGTGTGAGCTGGGAATGGCAAAAGCTCAGTTTAATTAGCAGCAAACTGGGCTGAGAGTTGCCAGTCTGGTTTCTGCTCAGGACTTGTGATGTTCCTGGTGGGAAGTGATAAAAGGGTCTGTGGGGGGAGCAACACTTCTGCTGGCTGGCATTTTGGGATGGAAGTTTGAGAGTTCCCACTTCAGCACCGTGCTCGGGCATCTTGGGATAATTCAAAAGGAAACTGGGATTTGGGAGAGCAGCCTTGACTCTGAAATCCTGGGGTTTGCTGTTCTCGGGGGGTGAAGGTGTTCCTCAATTCCCAGTTTTCCATCACCAAATGGAGCATTTAAAGGGTCATTCAGTGGCAGCACATTGGGTTTTTACACTGGATTTCATGTTAAATTGTGGTGGGATTGGATCCAGGCTCAGGGACAGGATATTTGGGGTGTGATGGGATTGGATCCATGCTCAGGTACAGGATATTTGGGAGGTGATGGGATTGGATCTGTGCTCAGGTACAGGATATTTGGGTTGTGATGGGATTGGATCCATGCTCAGGGACAGGATATTTGGGGTGTGATGGGATTGGATCCATGCTCAGGTACAGGATATTTGGGGTGTGATGGGATTGGATCCAGGCTCAGGGACAGGATATTTGGGAGGTGATGGGACTGGATCTGTGCTCAGGTACAGGATATTTGGGGTGTGATGGGATTGGATCCATGCTCAGGTACAGGATATTTGGGAGGTGATGGATCCTTACTCAGGATGGATATTTGGGAGGTGCTGGATTTCCTCCATGAGAAGACAATACCAAATCTTAGAACTGTTTTTATTTAGATTCTTCTCAAGAGGCTCATGAGGCCTTTGCTCTCTGTTTTCTTTGGGACTCCTTGAAAAAGAGAAGTTTCTCTTGTTCCTAGAGTGCCTGAGATGCTTTTACCTGGTCCCAAAGTCCATTCCAGGTGCATCAGGTGTTGTCCCTGGATTTGGAGGGATCCAAGAACCAGCTCTGGCCTCACTGCCTTGGCAGAGCACAGAGCTTTCCCAGCATTATCCCTCCTCCTGGTGCAGCACCAAAGATCTCAACTCCTTTTAAGCTATTCTTGGTCAATTAAAATTCAGTCCTGTTTGTCCCACAGCTTCTGAGGGCTGGGAGAACATTCTGGGGCACCTTTTCCATCACAGAAACCAACCCAGGTGCACCTGCACCTTCCACCTCTGTTTTATGGATATTTGGGCTGCTGGATCCTTCTTCCTCTCCCCTCCAGCCCCTTGGCCAGATGTTTGGTCTGTAAAACCTCCCAGTTTTGATGTGTGTACCCCTCAAAGTGCTGAGAGAGCCTCTCCAGTCAGTGCCAGCTCACAAGCACATCCTGATTATCATTTACTTCACTGGAACAGCTGCAAATCTCAGTTTATATTTCATCTCTCAATCCTTGCACCATGCTCTAAAATATTTTGATGTAATGCTCCATCCAGCTGTGGTCCAGAAACTGGAAAGCTGCAGCACAAGGTTTATCTGTTAGGAATTTCCTGGCCTCATTAACCAGCCACTGAGGTAAATCAGGGTTTGTTCCCTTGATGTGGAGCTAAATTGTGCCATTTTTTGTGTTTGCAGATGTTCTCAAACAACGATGAAGCTGCGATCAACAAAAAACTGCCCAAAGAGCTGCTGCTTCGGTGAGTCCTCTCTGGACACCGGTGGGTTGTTATTTGCAACCAGGATTTTGCTGCTGTGCTCCAAAATCATGAGCTTGGATCAGGTCACTCATAAAGCCAGACTCAAACAGAGGCAGGTCAAAGGTCTGTGTCAGCAGTTTGTGCTAAATGGGATTCAGTTTTGGGGTTTTAAATGCTGCGTTGGTTTGCTAGTTGTCTGTTTGGTGAATGGAGGAGTGAGGATCCTCTCACTGATGCTCCTGGTGAGGATGGGCTGATGTGGAGAAGAGGATTCTGCTTCTCTGAGGGGTTGAGTTGAAAGCAGAGGTGAATCCCTCTGCTCCAGTTATACTGGAGTGGACTTTGTCCTGTCCCTTGTCAGTAGGAGCCAGATGTTCAGCTCCTGGCAGGATGGTCCTGTTGGCAAACACCAAACAGATCAGACTTGGTGGATTTTTATTGTTTGAAAGTCCTTTAAGGTCTCTGTGGAAAATTCTGCCCTGTGGGAAGCAGGAGGGGAGTGTGGGGGTGATTGTCCCTCATTTTGGGCTCTGGAACTGAAGCTGAGTTTCAGTGCTTTGAGCTCAGGTGTTAGGCTGGAAATGGGGAAAGCAGAGGCAGGGGGAAGCTTGAATTATTAACAGCAACAACGTCCTTACACTGCAAGAAACTGGTTCTGTCAACACCCAGTGACAGTGAAGTCTGTGGGGAGGGAAATGTGACCCAGGGAATGCTGCTGGCTCACGTCTGGAATGAAAGGAGCAGGGAAAAGGGATGACTGTGTTTAATTTTCAGTGCACTGGCTGCCCTGGAAGGGTATTTCCCACCTGGTTCAGTTGCTGTTTCCCACCTGATCCCATTTCTTTTATTCCAGTATTCCTCACCCCAGAGCACAGTGTGTGGCTGTTAGAGCCCTCCCTGCTGCCAGGGTGGATATTTGGGATTGGGGCCTGGGAAGTGATTGTCCATGTGTGTGGAGATCCCTGGAGAACCTGAATCTGGGGGTGAGGGATGCCTGTGGGAGGAGCAGGATGGAGCCCCAGCCTCCACACGAGGAGTTTGCACAGGGATTTGCAGGTGGCAGCTGCTGTGCTTGTCCTGAACCATGGCTGGGATCTGGAGCAACAAAGGAGTGGCAAAAAATTGTCTTTCTGGATTTTCTGAGATGATTTTCTGGTGGGAGCAGATAAAACAAACCTGGGGTTTTTCTCTGTGCTGAGGTGACAAGACAGGGGTTGTGAAGAGCCCTGATGGGTGAGGCAGGGAGTCTGTGTGGCACTGGGAGTGTGGGGAATAGGATAGGGAGAAAAAGGTTGGGTGATGGCATGTAAATGGGATTTTGCATGGATTTCAGGGGAAGGAGAAGTGTGAGGGCATGAGGCTCCCAGGAGCAGAACTTCTCTTGGAGCTGGGTGAAGTTTCTGACAGATAGAAGTGGAATAATCCTGAGTGGAGCCAGCAGCTGAGGTTTGGCTCATTGCTGTGTGTGTGAAGGTCCAGCCACCTCCAGAGGTGTCCCCTCAGCTGGCAGGGGACAGAGCTGGAGCAGGTGCAGCAGTGCCAGGACATGGATTGGTCACCACCTGCTGGGGCTGGGGCTGCCCCTGGATCCCTGGCAGTGCCCAAGGCCAGGCTGGACAGGGTTTGGAGCAGCCTGGGACAGTGGGAAGTGTGACAAGAGTGGCACTGGATGAGCTTTGAGGTCCCTCCCAAGCCATTCCCTGACTCCATGAACTCTGCTGGACAGTTGGAGAAGGATTTGTGGTAGGAAGGAGGGAAAGTCCTGCATGGAGCAGGGAATTGCATCAGGACAAGCCCCAGTGTGGCTGAGTTCCCACACTCCTGCCCTGTGGAAATGTCTGTGCCTGTTGTGTCCTGCTGTCCCTGGTCATCCCAACCTGCTGGAGAGCAGGGAATTGTTCAGGATCTGGTGGAACTGAGGGGAAATCAGGAGTTGATAAATGTTTAAAGCTCATAAGTAATGGTTTGGAGAGCTGGAATTCACTGTTAGCATACTGTGAAAATTAATTACTGTGCATTGACAGTGCAGCCTTTGAAAGAGAAGCTTGGATGGGTTTTCTGCAGGAATCTCCTGTAAATGGATGTCACTGTGTGCAGGACAAAGGCTGGTGTGTTTGGGCACTGCTCTGTGAAGTCCTGTCCCTGCTCTGGGCACTCTCAGACAGCCTTGGGGTCCCCTGTGTGTGGAGTGAAAGCTGCACTTAGGCAAAATAAAGAGGAGGAGGATGTGAAAGGGGAGAACGGCAGCCTTTGTTATCCCTAAAAATACAGGGATGGAGCAGGAGGGTGGTGCTCCTGAGGACATGGCCCTGTCCTGTGTCTGGGATGCAGCAGTGACATCCTGTTCTGCCCCACCTGCAGTGGGGACATTGTCCTGTGTGTCCAGGGAGCAACACAGGGTGGGGAGGTCACAGAATCCCGGGATGGTTTGGGTTGGAAGGGATTGTCTGGTTCCACCTGCCATGGCAGGGACACCTCCCACTGTCCCAGGGTGCTCCAAGCCCTGTCCAGCCTGGCCTTGGGCACTGCCAGGGATCCAGGGGCAGCCCCAGCCCCAGCAGGTGGTGACCAATCCATGTCCTGGCACTGCTGCACCTGCTCCAGCTCTGTCCCCTGCCAGCTGAGGGGACACCTCTGGAGGTGGCTGGACCTTCACACACACAGCAATGAGCCAAAGCAGCAAAAAGCAGAATTTCCTGCACTGCTCCCTCCTTCCCTGGCTGCCCCAGCTCCTCCCTGGGCAGTGACTCCCAGAGGTGTATCCATGCTCCCTGTTGGCTCCAGCTGTGGTTGTGTCCCCACAGGGACATCCTGTCCCTTTTTCCCTGCATTCCCACTGCTGTTGGAAAGGTGCTTTCCTTCCCTGAGCCTGGATCTCCTGGCAGAGGTGGTCCCTGCTGCCCTCCTGAAGGAGGTGGCACTCCCAGTGTGACATGGGGCTGCTGCCCAGCTCCTGCTTGTCCCCAGCAGGATCAGCCTGCAGGAATTCAGCTCTTCCTGCTGGGTCACAGGCAGGTCAGGCAGTTTGCAGCTCTCCCCTGGCCTAAGCAGCTTTGACTCCGTGCTCTGCCCATCCAGCCCTGCCCAGCACATGCCCAGGCCTGGCTCTGCCATGCCCACTGCTGATTTATCCCTGGGGAGCTGGAGTTGTGCCCGTGGGGAGCTCTGAGTTGGCAGCAGAGCTGTGATGTCTGAGCCCCTGCCCAGCCCGTGGGAGCAGGGCTGAACTGGGATTGAACTGGGATGCTGGGGGGGGTCGCTGGCACAAATTGGTGTTGATAATTTTAGAAGGCTGAAGGTCTAAGCTGGCTCACCTCGGAGCCTGCAGCATGCAGGGATTTCATGAGAGTCTTGACCCTAATCTAATTAGAGCAGCAGTGGGAAAGTGAGGAGTCCTAGAAACCCCTGAGTGGATTAAGAGGTTGAAACCTGAAAATAGCTCAAAGTGAGTGTGTTTTACCCAAATTGTGCAGAGCTGAGCTGTTCTGACAAAAATCAAACACGTAGGGAGTCCCTTTGCAGTGAGACAATTTAATCTGCTGCAATTCCAGATTTAATTCCTGTTTGGGAAGCTCAGTCTGCCTTCATCTGTGATCAGTGTTTGATGATAAAGTTAATTTTGTGGATTATTTTCTCCACTGTGGACTCTGAAGAATAAAAACACCAATGTAAAAGGGCTCACCAGGACAGGAATCCTGTTTGGGTGGAAAAATAAATGTTCCAGCACAGTGCCTTTGGGCCTGTTAATGCAGAATTGGGAAAAATCATTCAAGCAGTGCTGATCAACCTTCTGCTGCAGCTCAGTCACTGCTTGTTTGTGGGGTTTGGGGTATTTTAGTGTTGTCCAGGAGTTCCTTGGAGTGGGAAAATCCCATCCTCAGGGCTGCAGAGGAATTCTCAGCTGGGGTGATGGTGCCTGCTGCTCTTCCTGGTCCTTGGGAAGCACCTGGATCCAGTTCTGAAATGATGAAAATCCACAACCAAGGAGTGCCTGCTGTGAAAAAAATCCTTTTTGCAGCCTGATTTTGCTGAATCACTGACTCAGGGTCTTGGACAAGGGCAGGAGGAGCTGAGGGAGCACTGGGAAAGTCCCTGGAGCTCCTCAAAGCTGCAGTCTCCGTGCTGGGGAAGGCAGAGGGGTGAGGGTTTGGTCGGGGGGAATCCCTGTTGATGTGTGGGCACGCTGGCAGGGGAGGAGCAGCAAGTGGAGGAGAATTTATCCCAAATCTCCCAGCCCTGAGAGAGGGATGTGGTGATCATTAACAGTCTGGGATTCCCATGGAGTAGGGAATTTTAATGAAAATAGAGACAACTTCCATAGTGAGTGACCCATAGAATTTGAAGTTTTATTTTCTCCTATGACAGGAATTTTCCCCAGCTTCTCTCATTTCCCTGCCTTTCCTGGTATTGTTGTGCATGGACATGGTGCTGAATAAACCCTTGGACACCAATAAATGACTTTTTGGGCTCAGGGGGAGCCTCTTCTGTAGGCAGGGAGGAGGAACTGCTCTGAAATCCAGAATTTGGGGCTCCTGACAGCATTAAAGTGCACTGGGCTCTTCTGCAGAGCTTTTCCCCAGCACATCACTGTCAGATTTGTCTCGTGGTAAGATCAGAAGTGCCTTGAACCCCTTGGGTCTTAACCCCTTAACTCCTTGGATCCATGAGTATCCCTGGGAAGTGCATGAGCACAGGAGGGAATGTTCATCCTGATTTAGCGGGTGCTGCTGTGTGATACCTTTAGCATCAATGTTCTGATAAATAATTGCATTTACTCTCCATCAGGAACACCCTTTCCACCCAATATTGGTGTTTCTGCAGGGCTTTTTCCATCCCTGCTTCTCAGGATGCTTGTGGCTGACAACGTTTGCCTTCTCTTTTGTGTGGCCTTCAAGTTGAAAATAGTAAATTAAAACATTAAAGCACATTGTGGTTGAACTCTTGTATTATCTTATATTGCAGAAACTCCAGTTTTATAATTGTTCCCAAAGGGAACAAGACCTTGATGTCCTCCCACCCTCCACTTGACCTCATCTGTTTTGGGACACAATTGTTTGAATAACCATAAACCACCAAATGACATTGAAATCCCATTGAATTTTAGACATTATTGATACCTTGGTGCAGACTGGGAGCTTTCCATGGGCTGGGTGCTTCCTGCACCCACAGCTGGGAGGGTGTGATGTGATCCCCAGGGCAATCCTGGCAGTCTCAGCTGTGTCATTCCTTTATCCCAATAATAGCCCAGCAGTCCTGGGCGTTGGCCGGGTCCCTGGGGTGTGCCCTGACCCTGGGTGCCACTCAGGAGTGACCACAGTGTCACTGTCCCTCCTGGCTGGTGTCATTGTCCCTCCTGGCTGAGCACATCTGCCTCTGCCAGTTGTGGAAGTGCAAAATCCTGGGGTGCTTTGGGCTGGAAGGGACCTTAAAGCCCATCCACTCCCAGCCCTGCCACTGTGCCAGGTGGCTCCAAGGCCTGTGACACTTCCAGGGATCCAGGGGCAGCCACAGCTGGTGATGGGGGATGGCACTGCCCACACTGAGGGATGGCACTGCCCTGATCCTGGAGCTGGTAATGAGGGATGGCACTGCCCATTTCTGGGAGCTGTTGCTGAAGGTGTTGGAGTGTTAATTCACTCGTGTGCAGTCAGAGCCAGCCCAGATCCCTGCTGGTGCTCCCTGTCCTGGCTCAGTGTGGGGCTCCTGCAAGGGTCACTTGGGGTGAGCAGTCACTGATTTGGGTCAGGACCCACTCCAAGGTGTGAGGTTTCTGTTTCCCAGTGGCTCCATGGCCGTGTTTTGTTTCCATTTGGGAACTGCTGCCTCTGCACTTCCTTTCACAGTTCAGCTTTCAGCCAAATCACAAAGAAGTTTTGCTGTCCCAGTCCTTTTTTTTTTCCCTCCCCCTGCCTCCCCCCTTATTTTCCCTGTCCCCTTTTGGTTTAAATGTCAATAACCTATAAGGTATCTCTTATTTCTGTTCCAGAATTTTCTCTTTCCTGGATGTGGTCACTCTGTGTCGTTGTGCTCAAGTTTCCAGGGTAAGAACCTTCCTCTTTCCTGGTGGATTTTAGCAGGGGGTTGGATTTAGGTGACAATCCTCCCTCCCCAGAGGGGTTGGGCCAGGGAGCTTTGTGCCACTCAGCTGGGGTTATTTAGTGTCCCCTGGAAGTCCTGGAAAATTCCCATAGTACCAGTGAAGGGGAATTCTGAGCTGGAGTAGCATTTTCCAGTGTCCCAGGTACAAAGGGGACAGGGCTGATGTTTTGCCCAGAGCTCTCCCCTCATTCTGGGTTTTACAGGGAGCTCACCCTGCTGAAATCCCCAACATGGGATGAGCCCAAAATGGCATCCTGTGGGTTTTGGTGGAAATTTTAATTTCCAGAGATGCTGCACACTCAATGAAAGTTCATTTTCTCCTTGGATGTAGTTGGAGTAAGCATGGAAATAAAGTGAGGGGTTGTTCTTATCCTTCATGGGCTTTAGTTAATGAAACCCAGCTTGGATTATTTGCTTGGGACAATTCCTCCAGCTGCACTGGGAAGTTCTGGAGCTGCCAGATTTATTCAGGTGCTTTTTCCTGCCAGTGTCTGGTAACTCCCAGGGGAAGCAGCACAGCAAGGGCAGGGTGGTGATCCAGGGAAGGTGTTGGAGTGCTGTGTTCACCATCCTGGCTGGGTGACACCTGCACAAACCCATCAGTCCTGGCTCCAAACCTCAACCACGACTGATTTAATTACTCTAAGCACATTGGAATTAAAAAAAAAACTGCTTAAACGTTGTTAATTGCTTTAAAAAATTACCCTCTGTGGTGTCTGGGCATCACAGTTGTCACCTGAATAACACAGGTTGTGCAGGGAAGGAGCTCCCAGCTGAAATCCAGCAGAGCAATGTTGGCCAGAATGGGCTCCCAGGGATTCTTTGCCAATGTCAGGGTGTTCTCCTGGCCTGTCCCAGCTCCTGTTCCGTGGCACAGCACAGGGAGTTCCTGCAGGGATGTGCAGGAAGGTTCTGGAACGTTCCCTGCACTGCCCATGGAATTATGCAGCCACTGGGGCATTTCCCACTGCTTTTCTCCAGACCTTGAAACAAACATCAGCAGTGAGGTTTAAACCCCAAAAACTCAATTAATGCTCAGTTTTTTCATCTGTTGTAACTCTGCACTAACTCCTGCCCAAGAGCTGCTGCTGTGCTGGGGAGGAGCTCGGTGCAGGTGGGATTTGGGGTGGAAAATCCCCCTGTGTTTACCCCTGGCTCCTGCACAGTGCTGCCTCCTGGTTATTACAAGATCCCCTTGTTTACCTTGATGATGAAACTGAAACTTTAAATTCAGCTCTGTGCTCCCCACCTGGCTGAGGGCACAGCAGCCACCTCTGAGTTCCTGCCTCTCCTTTGGAGCAGGAACCACAGGGATTTTGGTGATTTAAACAAAACCCAAACCCTTTGGCACTGCAGCTGTGGGGTCCCCTGGGGACTCACTGTGCCCAAGTGTCCTCTGAGGTGCTGGGGAGGAAATTCCAGCCAGGAATGTGAAAATGCCAGAGCTCCAGGCACTCTCCTGGCTCACACCTGCACCTCCCAAGGGAGTGGAAGCTGCCAGGGCTCTTCCCTGGCTGGGGGACTCAGAATTCTGAGTTTGGAGGGCACCAAGCTCCCTGCCAGTGCTCCTGGTGCCTGCTCAGTTCTCCCTGCTGGCTGCAATTACCTGTTGCTTCCCCACCTGGGACAGAATGTTGTTTCTCAAAGGAACAAACTGTGACTAGGTCCCCACTGACCTTTTTTTTTTTTTTTTTTTTTTTAATATTAACCACACATTTACATTTTTTCCCCTGATAAAGGCATGGAATGTTCTGGCCCTGGATGGCAGTAACTGGCAGCGAATTGACCTGTTTGATTTCCAGAGGGATATTGAGGTATAATTAAGTGACATACAAACCTATTTTTTCTTGTTAAAATGTAATTACAGCCTAGAATGGATTAATACTCCCAGTGTAACCCTTTCTACCTTCCCTGGAGATAGAAATCATTAATTTCAGTTCTTCAGCTTCAGGGAGTCTTTTAAAGTCCTGGCAATGCATTCAGCTTTTGAAAATGGACAGAGTTCTATATCCCTAGCAAGACTTAAAGGTTGTAATGGAAGGAAAGTAGTTTTTGTCTGTTCTGAAAAAAGAAATTAATAGAAAAGGTAATTTTGGGGGGAAAACTGCTGCTTGTATGGAAGAGAATTTAAGCTACTGCTCCTTGCACTCAAATCAGACCATGAGGACTGAATATTGAATCATGGCCTGAAATATTTTGTATCTTTAGTATCAAAAATTGAAATTGAAGATGATTTGGGAAGGACAAGGTCCAAATTGTCCCTAAAAGAGCAGCTTTGGAGCTGCTCTATTGTAGCTTAACCTATGGGATGTGGATTCTGCAGCAGCAGTGGGGATGGAGGCTGAAAATTCAAATTGCCTTAAGCAGGAAAACGGATGAGAAAACCCCCAATCCTTAAATCTCTTCTCAGGATTTTTTATCCAGTTTAAAACAGGAGGAGAGAGATTGAAAACATTTCACATTGGAGGGAAATGAGGAGTGTGTGGCTTTAACTTGTGGTAGACAGAGGCATCAAGGAGCTGCTGGGTGAAGGTTCTGACCTTGTGGGAAATCCACCCCTGATTTTGCAGGAAAGTGTTAAAATAATCCCTTTGTGCAGCTGAGAGTCAGGGGTGAGGAGCAGGAGGTGCCACTGTCACCTGAGGAGGGTCTGAGTGGCCTGGGGGAAGGAAATGGGGGATTTTGGGTCTTCAGAATGAATCCTTCCCCTCACAACGTGCCCTAAAAACCCAGAGCCATGGAATTATTTATTTATTCAGAGTGGAGTTCTCAGGGTTCCTGATGTGTGGAGTGGCAGGAGGTGGGACTGAACAGCTCAGCCTGGGAGGAGGGAGAGGCTGGGAGTACAAAGCAGGCTTTTCCCATTCCTCAGTGCTTTTGGGGTGCTTTTTTTCATGTCCCTGCACATCAAACCTGTGTTCTTGCCTAAGCCCAGGCTTCCCCTCTGAAAACAAAATTTGTTGTAGCTCACCTCAAAGCTCCTGCTGGGCATCCTCAGGCTCTGCTGTAACAGAGTTAAATCCATCAGCCCATGGAAATTTATGATAAAAACATGTTTGGCTCCTCTAATTTAGCAGAATTTGTAGGCTTGCTGTAATAGAGTATAGAATATAGAATAGAATATAAAATTGAATACAGAATATAGAATAGAATATAGACTAGGATATAGAATTGAATTTAGAGTATATAATTTAATATAGAATTGAAATAGAATACTGAATTGAATATAGAATATAGAATTGAATATAGATTTGAACATAGAATAGGATATAGAATATAGATTTGAATATAGAATACATAGAATAGGATATAGAATTGAATATAGAATGTAGAATTGAATATAGAATAGAATATAGAATTTAATATAGATTTGAATATAGAATATAGACTAGAATATAGAATAGAATTAGAATTGAATATCGAATATATAATTTAATATATATTTGAATATTTAATATAATATAGAATAGAATATAGAATACATAGAATGTAGAATATAATATAGAACTGCAGAATCAGGGGGTGTTTCAGCTTTTCCAGCCTTTTTTCAGGGCTCTGGAGGTCGAGCTGCTCCCGTGGTGTCCCCAGAGCTCGCCTGGCCAGCCCAGGGTCTGGTAGTGGGGTTGTGTTCTGCTGAGCCTGGTGGCTGATTTGGGTTTTTTTAGACTGGAAAAGAGATTCTGGAAGAAAATCCTCATTTCAGAGAGGTTCCAAATTCCAATTAGTCCTGGAAGGAGCGAGGGTTGCTCCTGCTCTGTGAGGAACAGCCAAAGTGCAGGGGAAGGTTCTGAGTTTCTGGTGCAAATATTCTCCCGTGGTTTTGCTCTTTGGTCCCAGGAGAAAAGTAAATCCTGGCTGTAATGGAGTCTTTGGGTCCAGATTTGAAATTAAACCCCTTTTCTGGATCTCTGGAGCACGAATGGTTGAATCCCTTTTCCTGCAGGAGCAGAACTCGTGGGCTGGTTCTGCTCATCTCTGTTTTGAGTAGAAATTGGAGTTTATCCATTGGCTGTGCTTGGAAATCTGGGCTGTAGCTCCTCTCACCTCCCTTGGGGAGTCTGTGCCCGTGTCCAGGAGCTCCAAAAAGGAGGAAATTTCTGAAAATGCTTTAGCTGATTGTTGGAGCCCAGGACATTCCTCTGACTGCCCTGGATGGCTTGAGACTCTGGCAAGGGGCTCAGAGACCTTGGCATGGAGTCAAAAACACCTGTGCCTTTGATTTTAACCCATGGAAAAAATTACCAGCTTTGTGTGAAGATTCACAAGCCACAAGAGTTGAGTAGGCTGATAGTTCATTTCTAAAAAAAAGTAGAATTTTGGGGCTTTAGAATGAGGGTTCAAGAGGCAAGATGGAGGAATTTGGGCATGTCCTGTCCTTTCTTCTCCTTCTTCCTGTCCTCCATCATCTCTTGCTGGTGACACTTCTTGATTGGTTTAGAGCAGGGACAGACTGTCTAACATAGGTGATGGGTATTGGAAAATTATTGTCAATAAAGTACAGGTAGTTCTTAGTATAAAATGTTAACACCCCCCAAGAGCCAGCAGTGTGCCACGAACCGACCTGCTGGACAGACCTCAGCTGGTCAGGGAAAAATGTAATAGATAAGAGAAAATAAACAACCTTGAAAAGCAGAGCTGAGGAATCTCGACTTCTTCTTTGAAAAAGAAGAGACTTTCTACTACACTGGGGTCATCCCAGCCTCAGAACCCTGTCATTGATTGGCTTTAGCTGATTGCTCCTTGTCTCCATCTTCAGAAGCTGAATAATTCTCCCTGCCCTCCCTCAGCCCATTCCCACAGCACTTTTATCCCCTTAGCACCGTTTTCCCTTGAACAACAAATTGTTGTCAGTCTGCAAAATGTTCACTTGATCTTCCTGAAGCTCTGGGGGGTTCTCACGTGGCTCCTCTGTGTCCCCCAGGGCCGAGTGGTGGAGAACATCTCCAAGAGATGCGGGGGATTCCTGCGGAAGCTGAGCCTGCGGGGCTGCCTGGGAGTGGGGGACAACGCCTTAAGGTACCTTTGGAAAGGGCTGCAAAACCAGAGAAATCTGGGATTAATCTGGATCACATTTATCTGGGGTAAATCCGGATTTTCTAATTTCTCTGGGAAAAAAATGGGGAGAATTTATCCCCGCTTCGGAGCTGAGACACTCGGGATGTCAAAACCTGGAGAGCAGTGACAGAGATTATTCATTTCTCATTTAATAAATTTTTTTTATTTCATTGATCATTTTTATAATTTAATTTGTCATTTTTATAATTTAATGTATTGGGGTTTTATATAAAAATTAAATTGTAAATAAATAAAAATTAAAATAAAAATTAAATTTTAAATATATCACTATACTTCAATTTAGATATGAAGATATAAATATATCTAAACATTAATATAATAGAAACAAATAACACTAGAATAAAATAATATATTCAATCATAAATATAATTAATTCATTAATATAAATATTATATATAAAAAGAAATATATTAATTACCATAAATTAAAATATACTACATTAATAAACTAAATAATAAGTATAATTAATAGAAATATTATAAATACATCACTAAATTTAAATATGTGTAAGTATATAAGTATAGATATATAAATATTCATTGATAAAAATAAATATTATTAGAATAAATTAATAAATTAAATATTAAGTATACTTAATTAATAGAAATATTATAAATATATCACTAAATTTATTTTTAACCTCACCCAGCAGCCACTTCTCTCATTAAAATAAAGCCAAGGGCTGAGGCTGATGGGCACTGGGTGATTCTGGTGCCTCCAGGCTGGGACATCCCAGGGCAAGAGGTGGGGCAGCAGAAATCAGGGATTGTCTTGGGTTTGTTCCTGATTCTGTTGAGCATTTTCTTCTTTATAGATTCTTTCCTTGATTGTTTTATTCCTCCTTGATTCTCTTGATTCTTCTTTCTTGATTCCTTTCTACTTTCTTGATTTCCATCTTGGTTTTCTTGGGGGTTTTTTTGTTTGTTTTTGTTTTCTTGGTTTTTTTATTCTTGATTATTTCTTTCTTGATCTTCTGCATTTTTTTCTGGATTTTCTTCTTTCTTATTCTTTTCTTGATCTTAATCCTGATTTTCTTCCTGATTTTCTTCTTGATTTTCTTGATTTCTTTATTGATTCTTTTGATTTTCATGGTTTTCTTCTTGATTTCCTTCTTGATTTTCTGTGTTTTCTTCTTCAATCAGGTTTGTAAAACTTTTTTCACCTGGAATTCCTTTGCCTCACAAATCCAATGTTTTCCCTTTCCTTCCCCCCAGGACCTTTGCCCAGAACTGCAGGAACATCGAAGTGTTGAACCTCAATGGTTGTACCAAGATCACGGACGCGTGAGTAAAACTCTTCTCTTTTGGGTGCCAAAAATTCTTCTTTTGGCTGCCAAAAATTCTTCTTTTGGCTGCCAAAAATTCTTCTTTTGGCTGCCAAAAAAAGGCGGCCTTGGGATTGTGGGAGGTTTTCCATGGAATCATGGAATGGTTTTGGTTGGAAGGACCTGAAATCCCATCCATTCCCACCGTGCCATGGCAGGGACAGCTTCCACCATCCCAGGCTGCTCCAAGCCCTGTCCAGCCTGGCCTTGGGCACTTCTTGGATCCAGGGGCAGCCACAGCTGCTCTGGGCACCCTGTGCCAGGTTCCCACCTCCATCCTCACCCCATCCTGCCCATCCCATGGGATTTCTGTGGCCTGGCATGAATCCATTGCAGGAGTTGTCCCCGTGTGTCTCTTCCAGCACCTGCACCAGCCTCAGCAAGTTCTGCTCCAAACTCAGGCACCTGGATTTGGCTTCCTGCACCTCCATAACCAACCTGTCCCTGAAAGCACTCAGGTAGGAGCTAGCAGCAGGGATTTTCCATGGAATTTTGGAATCATTAAGGTTAGAAAAGACCTCTAAGATCCTCCAGCCAACCCAACGTTCCCTCCAGAGCCTCCCTGTGGAGCAATGTCCCCTACTGGGTGTGGGGCTGCTCTGTGGCTCCCAGAAATGGGAATAGCAGAGCTTCTGGCTTGGAGCAGGATTTCTCCTGAGGCAAATGAGCTTTCCATGTGTGTCCCTGTGTCCCCAGCGAGGGATGCCCGCTGCTGGAACAGCTCATCATCTCCTGGTGTGACCAAGTGACCAAGGACGGGATCCAGGCGCTGGTGCGGGGCTGCGGGGGGCTCCGGGCCCTGTCCCTCAAAGGCTGCACCCAGGTACAGCTGGAGAAGTGGGAATGGGCATGGCTGGGGTGTCCTGCTGTCCCTCAGGGTGTGGGCATGGAAGTTCAGGGATTTGGGTTATCCCCTTCTCCAAAATCCCCACGGAGTTGGAGATCGGGTGCTGGGGTGGAAGTTCTTCAACAGCCCCGAGGAGTGGGACAGGGAATAAATCACATGTGGGGCTGGAGAATCCTTTTATCCTGATTTTCCTTTTCCCACTGATCCCTTGGAGGAGGTCACTGTGATCCATGGCCAGATCTGGGCTCGAGGGGTTTCATGACAGTCCTTTCCTCTGGCTCTGCTCCTGTTGGAGTAAAAAGCAGGAGCACTCCTGGTGCTGCTGCTCCTGTGCTGCATTTCCCTCCTCCCCAGAGGAAATCCCCATTCCCTGCTGTCCCAGCTTTAATTCCTGGATCCCAGTGCTCCCAGTTCCCATCGCTGTGGTTTCCCTTCCAGCTGGAGGACGAGGCCCTCAAGTTCATTGGTGCCCACTGTCCTGAGCTGGTGACCCTGAACCTGCAGACCTGCCTGGTGAGTGGCACTGCCCAGGATTCCCTCATGGAATGTGCTCCATCCCCCTGCCCACGGGGCACTTGTCACCAGCAGCTCCTTGGTGGCACTTCAGGGGCACTGAGCCCCTCACCTTTGCTCTGTCAGGGGTGTTTCTCTCTTCCCTCTGAACTTGTCTGTGGGATGAGCTGGAAAAATCCTTCCCATCAGGCTGGGCTGGTTCTGCCAGGCCTCTCCTCTGGTCCCTGTGCAGAACTGAGCCTACAAAGACACTTCTGCACAGGAAGGCCCTCAATCATCTCTGTGGTGCCAAAAATGTGTGTTTATGCCTAGATTTTTTTGACATAAACACACATTTTTGGCATGGGCTGGCTGTCTGTGCCATTACAGTCAGACATGGGAACAGGAATGGATGGATGGACCCTCTGTGTCCAGGGATGGGATTGGATGGACTCCCCAGGGACAGGGATGGACAGACTGCTGTGTCCACAAACACAAATGGACAGACCCCCTGTGTCTTTCCAAGCAGGAATTCCAAAGCCCTGCAGGACTCCCAGCACCTTCCCCCATCCCTCACTGGGTACAGCTCCAAAATATTTCCCTCCAGATCCCTTCCCTGATATTCCCAAATCCAGCGAGGTTTATCCTCCCTCTGCTGCTTTGGTAAAACATCTCCATAACAATTTTGGGGTGACACATTTCCCTAACACTTTTTGAGCCAAAAAGAGCTGGAATTTGGAATTGGGAGAGACAAATCCTACCTGGATTGAGGCAGCTGTGTTTTCCCTGGCAGCAAATCACAGATGATGGGCTCATCACCATCTGCAGGGGCTGCCACAAGCTGCAGTCCCTGTGTGCTTCTGGCTGCTCCAACATCACCGACGCCATCCTCAACGCCCTGGGACAGAACTGCCCACGCCTCCGGTGAGTTCTCCCAGCACTTCCCCCAGTGGAACACCCAGCACAGGCTCCAGATGCTCTCTGAGCCATTTCACCCACCATTCTGAGCTTTTTCCAGGTGTTTGGAACAGGGTGGTTGTGATTTTTGGGTTGTCCCCTAAATTCTTGGGGTTTAAAAGAACTCCCAGTGTGGTGCCTGCAGGCTCTGTGTGTATCCATGGAGGGAATTTGGGATTGGGTGAACCTTTCCAGAGGTGCCAGGATGAGGAGCACAGACTCAACCAGGACAAATCCCACCCCAAATTCCAGATGAGGAACGCAGGTTTTCAGTTTCCTTTTTCTGCCTCTGTCAGGGTCAGGATTGAAGGCACTTGAGATGATGGCTCACATTTAGATTCAGGTGTTTATTATTTATTATCATTGTTACAGCCTTACAGCAGTGAGTTCTGCAGTTTTTCATTAACAAGGCACAAAATGGCCAACTATCTCTTGTTACAAGGTATTTTAAGGCTAAACTGTCCAATTAAGAAACAACACCTAAATTATTTTCCCTTTTAACCCAATAACTGGTCACTCAAGGCCTGCACTGTGGAATTTCCTGTCCAATTACAAAATACCACCCAAACCCATGAAGAAGAAGGAAGAAGAAGGAGGAAGAAGATAAAGAACAACCAGTCTCCACCCTAAAACCTCCATCTTGCTTCATATTTATTTCTATATTCTAAAACCCCAAACTCTAATTTTCCACCCTGTGATGTTACACACTTCTAACCAACTCCACCCCCACAATCCCAGTGCTATCAATCAATTTTGGAAGCCTCAGGTCAAATGCAGGGGGTGACAGGTCAGATGCTCTCCAGGGAGTCAGAATCTGTCAGCACAGAAAGTTTCAAATCCTCAGCAGCCACAACTCCAACATCAGAATTCCTTCCTGAGGGTGGCAGATCCCAGAGCAGTTCCACGAGGACGTGGGGTGTCCCTGGCTGGAGATGTCCCCTGCTGCTCTCCCCGGGCAGGGGTGGGACTGAGGGGTCTCCTGAGGTCATTCCCAGCCCTCTCCTGGGATTTGGGGGCTCCACCACGTTTCTTTCCTTGTGTCCTGCAGAATATTGGAAGTGGCAAGGTGTTCCCAGCTGACCGACGTGGGCTTCACCACCCTGGCCAGGGTAAGAGCCCTGCTCCTCCTCCTTCCCCTCCTGCTTTTCCTTCCTTTTCATAAAGGAAAATGCAAAAAATACCCCAGGAAGTAACCAGGGAAGTACCCTGGGGAAAGCTTTGAATTTGGGTGGAAGCTTAAGGTCCAAAAATTCGGTTTTATGGGATCTTTGGCATCATTCTGGCTCGCACACCTGGGAGGATTTGCATCCAAACCACAGGAAATGTTAAATATTTTAGTTACAAACTTTACTCTTTTGTCTAAATTTTACTTCATTTACTCTCCATGATTAAAAAAACCCTTAAATGAGTGAAATTTCCTTTATTATCCTTCAGAAACTTTGTAAGCTTTCCTTCCAGTTGTGGTATTTCATGGAGAAACCCCTTAATTTCTAAAGCAAACTGTCTTTGTGGTGGTTAATTTATATTTATATTTATATTTATATTTATATTTATATTTATATTTATATTTATATTGATTTTGTAAATTTAAATAAATATTTAGATATTATATACTGTATATACTATTTATCTTTATATTTGAAATATAATGTATTTCTATTATTTCTCTTTATTATCTTTATATTTTTTATGGTTTTATATTTATATTTGCTGTCTGGACTTCACACTCACCATGGGTGTTTGGAATTCTCTTTATTCCTAGAATTGCCATGAGCTTGAAAAAATGGATCTGGAAGAGTGTGTCCAGGTAGGAATGCCACCTCAGGCTGTTTCTCTTGCAGCAGTGTGGAAAATTGGTGGAAAATTAAGAGATTTTCTCCAAATCAGAATTTAATGTGGAATCCTGAGTGGGAAGAGTGGCTGGATTTGGAAAGGAAAATGCTGGGAATGAGGTTTTGTCCATGGGAACAGTGCTGTAAATAAGAAATATTTAATAGTGAGAGATCCTGGGTCAAATAATGGATTTGTGAGAGAAAATCCAGATTTTTGGGGGGAAATCCTAGAGAAAAATCTTATCTTGCTAAAAAATAATGGGAGTTCCCTCTGATTTGGAAAACCATGGGGAAAATTGTGAAACAAAAATGATTTTAGGGGATTGAAACCAAACTGGGCTGAAGTATTTCCAGGGAAAAGGGTGGAATTGACTCAAAATTCTGTGAAAAAACCTCCAAGCCTGAGGATGGATTGGAAATTGATTGAGCCTGAGACAAAGGGAATGGGATTGGGATTCCTGGGAACAGCTGGACCGTGTGTCCTGAGCAGAAATTTGGGATATAAAGAGGGAATGACACCAGCCAGGCAGGAAGGGATTGGGAATGAACCCTAAAAATGGAGAAGCAAAGCTGAGCCAGGGCACAGATCCATCCCAGGCAGCTCCTGTGGGGGCTTGGGATTGGGAATCTTTGTAGGGATTCCTGCTTCCTGAGGAAAACCAGGAGCTGGGCAGGGCACAGATCCATCCCAGGCAGCTCCTGTGGGGGCTTGGGATTGGGAATCTTTGTAGGGATTCTTTCTTCCTGAAGAAAACCAAGAGCTGGGCAATCTGTAGGGGATTGAGGGAATCTGAGCCCTCCTTGTCCTTCCAGAGGAACATCTGGGACACATTTGGGAGCTGATTTCAGCTCCCTAAGGAGTTTAAAAACAATCCAGTGATGCCTGTGCATCCCAGTTCTCCAAGGGCAGGAGGTGATTTCCATGAGGAGGTGGATTCCTGAGGAACTGTGGGGAAATCTCATAGATTAGGGAAAATCCTGCAGTTTTGCTTTGGTAGGAGAGAAAAAAAACAAAAAAACAAACAAATCCTTGTGCCCAGCACCAACATGAAAGGGCTTTTTCTTCTTTTCCAGATTACAGACAGCACACTAATCCAGCTTTCCATACACTGTCCACGGCTGCAGGTCCTGGTGAGTATCCCAAGGGACACTTCCAGCATTTCCTTTCTCCAAACAAAGAGATTTTAACAGTTGGAAGAATTCTGCTGCAAACCTGACCCTGAGGAACCTCTTATCCCTTCCCTCCTGCTCACAGGAATCCCACCCCAGGCCCCCACAGGGAAAGGGTTGTGGGGATTCTCCCAGGAGCAGAATTCCAAGTGGGATCTGCCTGCACAGGAGCTGTCAGTCTGTCTGTGGGACAGGAACCTGCAGGGCAGCCAGGAGTTGGAGTGCTCAGGGCTGAAACTCTGCGAGTTTGGTCTCTGTCACCCCCTGGGTTGTGCCATGAGGGATGCTGTCCTGGGAGGTGTGGGGATGTGGGTTCTGCAGTGCAGCCATCCCTCAGGAAAGCCAGTTCCAGCTCCTGGCTCAGGCCCTGCTTCCTCCTCGAGCACTTTCCAGGTGAATCCCCCTGAAAATCCACACCAAGGGGGGGCCATCGTGTTCCTGCTGCTGCTTGGAGCTGGGCCAGGGTCCTTCCCACAATGGGTGAGGCCACAGGTGTCCCAAAGGTGGGTTCTTGCATAGCTCAGCTCTGCTGGAATTTCTGTGTCACCCTGGGGGTCTCATCCCTCCAGAGCTGCATTCCCCTGGAACCATGGAAGGGACCCTCAAGATGATCCTGTTCCCATGGGCAGGGACACCTTCCACTACCCCAGGGTGCTCCAAGCTCTGTCCATCCTGGCCTTGAACACTTCAGGGATCTGGGGGCAGCCACAGCTGCTCTGGGCACCCTGTGCCAGGGCCTGCCCACCCTCCCAGGCAGGAGTTTTCCCCCTGCAGCTGGAAGTTGGAGCTGGAAGCACATCACTCCTCAGAAACCCACAGAGCCCAGGAGCGAGCACAGAATTTTAAGTCTATTGGTCAAGGTCTTCCTGTACAAAAATGGGCTCTAAATCAGGTGTGTGTGCAGAAATAATCACAGAAAATCTGGGCTGGGAGAGAAGCAAGGCAGGAAACACCTCACACCATCAGGGCTCTCCCCACATGAACCTGCTCAGGAGAGAGGGGAAACTGATGGGAAACCAGATAAACACTAAAATGGAAGTGGAAACTGGTCCTTCCAGTGCTTGTATCACATTCCTGATAAGCCAGCAGTGTTTCCTCCACTCCAGGAGGAACAAGGATTGGGCAGGGTGAGGCAGGAGGCTTTAATGGTGTGGTGGGCTCTGATGCCTCAGGAAATCGGGCACAGCCCAGCCCAGCCCACCACGGACCACCCTCCCATCCCCATCCGGGCTGTTTTTTGGGAGCTGGGTTTAACCCCTGTCTTTGGGGACAGAGTTTATCCCACTGCGAGCTGATCACGGACGATGGGATCCGTCACCTGGGCAACGGCGCCTGCGCCCACGACCGCCTGGAGGTGATCGAGCTGGACAACTGTCCCCTGATCACCGACGCCTCCCTGGAGCACCTCAAGAGCTGCCACAGCCTGGAGAGGATAGAACTGTACGACTGCCAGCAGATCACGCGGGCCGGGATCAAGAGACTCAGGGTGAGCTGGGATGGGGAGGAGCTGGGATCGGGAGGGTTCATCCATGGGGAAGAGCTGGGATCGGGAGGGTTCATCCATGGGGAGGAGCTGGGATCGGGAGGGTTTGTCCATCGGGAGGGGTTATTCATGGGGAGGAGCTGGGATCGGGAGCGTTCATCCATGGGGGGGTTTATCCGCAGGGAGGAGCTGAGATGGGAAGGAGCTGGGATGGGGGAGGATTCATCCACAAGGAGGAGCTGGGATCAGGAGGGTTTATCCATGGGGAGGAGCTGGGATCAGGAGGGTCCATCCACAAGGAGGAGCTGGGATCAGGAGGGTTTATCCACAGGAAGAGCTGGGATCGCGAGGGTTCATCCACAAGGAAGAGCTGTTTTGGGGGTGGGAGTTTATCCATGGGGAGGAGCTGGGGTGGGGAGGGCTCATCCATGGAGAGGGTTTATCCATAAGGAGGAGTTGGGATCGGGAGGGTTTATCCATAGGGAGGGCTGAGCTGGCAGAGTTCCCATCACCTCATGCTCCTGCTCAAAGGAGTTCTGAGAACCATCGGTGGTGGGTTTGGAGTCATGGAAAGGTGGAATGGTTTGTGTTGGACACTTTCCACTACCCTGGGTTGCCTTGGACACTTGCAGGGATGCAGGGGCAGCTTCCCTGTGCCAGGCCTCACCCCCTCACAGGCAGGAGTTTCCTCCCCTCCTAAATCACTTTCTCCACGTGTAAAAGAACAGTAATGATAACATTTTCCCTGCCAAGACAACATGGATCTGCAAAGTTACACCATAAAATGACAGAATCTTTAGGTGATTTGGGTTTGAGAAAGCCCAACCAGGGACCTTCCACTACCCCAAGCTGCTCCAACACTTCCAAGGATGGGAATCCCACCAGTTGGAATGAGGAGCCTCATTCCCTGTGCCGGGTGACCCCAGCCGTTCCCCATCCCTGGTGGCTCGGGGCGTGTCCCTGACTGCTCCTGCTGTTTGCCCTTGCAGACCCACCTGCCCAACATCAAAGTCCACGCCTACTTCGCCCCGGTGACCCCCCCGCCCTCGGTGGGCGGCAGCCGACAGCGCTTCTGCAGATGCTGCATCATCCTATGACACTGGAACCTCCTCCCGGCAAAGGGGGCTGGAACCACGCCCGGGCAGCTCCGGGCACGCCAGAACCTCGGGGACAGCGATCCCAGTGTCATTGCCAGGGCCAGTGAGCAGGGCTGGGCTGCCCTGCAGCCACCCACACACCCCCTGTGATCCCGGCGGGATGAGGGACTGGGGATGGAGCTGCAGCTGGGCCGGCTGTTCCCGGGGTGGATTGGCCTGATCCTGAACCGTTCCTGCTGGGAATTGCTGGGAATAGCCCAGGGGAGGGCTCCCAGCCTGGAGGGACTGATGCTGCTGGTGAGGTTGGAAAAGGAGCGGAGATCCTTGGAAGTGGGGAGAGGGGAGAGGAGAGGAACACGCTGGAACCCCGTTGTGCAGAAGGAAAAACCCCAACAAACCTGAAAGCCCCAAAAAAACCTAAAAACCCCAACAAACCTGAAAACCCCAAAAAACCTGAAAGCCCAAACAAACCTGAAAGCCCCAAAAAGCCTAAAAACCCCAACAAACAAGTTCCATGTCCATTTGTCAGTGAGGGAATGAAACAGCAGCTGCTCAGCCAGGAATTCCCTGGGGTCCAGGATTTCCCTGGGATCCAGAATTTACCTGAGCTCCAGGATTTCCCTGGGATCCAGGATTTCCCTGAGATCCAGGATTTCCCTAAGATCCAGGATTTCCCTGAGGTCCCAGATCTCCCTGGGGTCCAGGATTTCCCTGAGGTCCCAGATTTCCCTGTGGTCCAGGATTCCCCTGTGCTTCCCTGCTCCCACCTGACCATGCTCACATGAAGGTTCATCTTCCCTGTGTCAGAGGCTTCCCAGATTCTTCCCAGATTGTTGTGACAGACCTTGGAATTTCTAATGCCACTTTTTTTTTTTCCCAATTCAGTAATTTCTTGAGATTTCCCAGCCCAAAGCCACAAATCCATAAGGAATTTTCTCCCAGGAGAAGCCTGAGCCTGTGGTGAGCTGTCAGGAAGATTTTAAAGGAGCTTGGGAAGCTGCACCCCAGGCTGGGCTCTCCTGGCCTGTGTGATCAGGGATTGGGTGTCCAAATTTATCCCAAATCCAGGTTTTACCCCAATGACAAGGCTATAACTCTCCATACAGGGAATAATATATATACAAATATATAATTCTCAGTACAGGGAGGAAGTTCCAGCCCGTGTTCCGACTGAGTTCCCTCCTCCTGTCCTTCCCCTCCATCCTTCCCCCAAGGAAAAGCCAAGTAGAGCTTTTTGTTTGTTGCCCTGATGAAGAATTAAGGATTCCCTGACGGAGCAGGGCTGGGATCCAGCCTCAGTCCCCGTGGGGGCCCTTCCTGCCCTCCCCACCTGCCCAGGTAAGTGTGCAGCCCTGCAGGGAGCCCCGGGATGGGGTTTGGACGTGCCAGGCCCAGCTCTGGGGGAGGTGGGGGGTCCGTGGCTGCTTTTTTGGGGTGTTTCAGGCTCCAGGGGAGCCCGGACTGAGCGAATTCCAGGGCTCAGTGTGGAGCTGCTGGGCAGATCCCAAGGGTTTGAGGGGCAGGGCTGGTCCGTGGGAGCCGTGTCCGTCGTTCCCACTGTCCCTGCGGGAGCTCAGGGCTCCCTGCTCCCCTGGAGCCAGGGGCTGGGCTTCCCCCTGCTGCTGAGCAATCTCCTGGTGGGGAAAGAGCAGCTGCAGCACCAGGAATGGATATTTTAGGGGCTGGAGGGGGGGGTTTTCCCACCAGGAATTCCAAGGACAATGCGCTGTTCCCAGCAGGAGGGTCCCAGGCGCCCCTGGAGCTGCACCCCTTCCTCTCCCCCAGCCCCCCCAGTCTGTGCTCACTCTGCTGGGAGCAACTCCAGGCTGCTGTGGTTAAAAGGATACTGTCAATGCCCTCCTGTAGACGGCTTTTAATCCCTTATATTTATTCAAATCCTCTTTAGCGCTGTGGATTCTCCCCCTCTCCTCGGGCGCCTTCATTTCCAGAACTTTCTCCAGGTTTCAGGGTGGCAGAAGATGGTGGTGACAGACTGGACGGGCGAGGGGTCACCCAGCAATCACAGGATTTGCACAACTCTGGGAAAATAAAAAACAAAACAAAACACTTTTGTTTAGTTCCTACTGTGGCAGGGGAGAGCGAAGAGCAGGATTTTGGCTGACTGATCCCTTTGTAACAGAGCAGAGTTTTCCAGGGAAAACTCCAGAACACAGAACCCAAAGCAATTTATTTTCTGTTTGCAGACCAGGGTGACAGCATTAAGGTAGCTCAAACTTCTTGACAGTGTCCTTTTAAGTCAATTATCCGTCTTCAAATGGACTCTTCCTGATGTTTATATTTATAAATACCAATAAACACCATTTTCCAAGCTGTGTCTCGCTGGGGGAATCACTTGGTGGAGGAAAATCCAGCTCCTGCATGGGGCAGCTGCTGAGGGGGGAGCTCTGAGTGTTTGCATGGAGTCAGGAATGGTTTTTGGGGGTGGAAGGAGCTCAGAGCTCATCCAGGGACTCCTTCCATAGCCTGGGCTGCTCACAATGTGCAGGAATTGCTCCATCCTGGCCTTTCTGAGGGGGCTCTGGGACAGCTCCAGCCCTGGCTGAGGATCCCATCCCATCTCCAAGCTCCCTCCCTGTGCCAAATCCCCTTCTCCAGCCTGTGCTGGGCAGCTCTTCCAATTTCAGCCCCTGAGCTGTTCCCTGTCCTTGGAATCCTGCGTGGAGCAGGGGCTGGGCTGTCCCCACCTCCCAGCAGAGGTTTCTGGAGCCTGGATCTGCCTTCCTGCACCTTCCAGCTGCCCCTGGACTCCCCACAGGAGCAGGGACCTCTCCAGGAAGCAGCCTGGGGTAGAAGATCCTCCAGGGGGGCTGAGCAGATCCAGTGAAACCAAAAAAGAGAATTTTCTGGGCCTTGGAGACACTGCAGCACCTTTTATCCCAATTCTGTGACACAGGGTGAGTGTGGGGCGGGTGGGAAGCGCTGTCACGGGGGTTGTTTCAAACCAACAAATTCCATTTTTTGCACATCTCTGTAATTCCCTTTGTATTTCTGTTTGATTTCCTCTCTGTTGTTCATGGCTGGCTGCTGCTGTGGGTTTTGGGGTAATTTTGGGGTTTTTTTGGCAGAATAGGGGTGGATTGGGCTCAGTGTGACATCTTGGCTACAGTGTCCTGGAAAATGTCCTAAAACATTTTGGCTTTTTCTGGTGAAGGGTTGTGTGCTTGATGGGCCTGCGGGTGTTTTGGGGGATTTATTCCTTTTTGTTTTCCTTTCTGGCATCCAGGTCAAGGTTTCTGCCCTCCCTCTGTGCCAAAGCCTGGCAGAGGCTCCTGTGCTGCAGCCTGGGGGATGTGGGGCTGGAATGATGGAGAAAATCAAGGAGAAGCTTCTTTTCCTCCTCAATTCCCCTTTGTTCTCCCCTGGGCCCTGCAAGGACCCACCCTGGGAGTGTCACCAGTGTCCCCTCACCTCCTTGTCCCTGTCCCTGCCCCGTGGCTCTGACTGACCTCACATGGAAACCTGGAGCTGATTTTTTTAAGGGATGATGGAATCCATCCCCTGCTCCCACCCATCCCTGCCCCGGGCTGGGAATGTCACCCTGTGCCAGCAGTGCCACACTCGGGGCTCTTTGTGCTTCATCTCTGTCCCCAAAGGTGCAGCTGAGCCCCCCCGGGGGTCCCCAGGGGCTGTGAGCCCCCTCCCCTGCGCCACCCCCATTCCCCTGTCCCCTTCCCTCGGGGGCTTTGACACTTTTTAGCTCGGGGGTGTCCTGGTGGCTGCTGGGGCTGGACACAGGAGCTGGGGGACAGAGAGCCGGGAAATGTCCCTTGAATGAAATGCTGTGGCTGTGCTTGTCCCGGCACTGCGGGTGGGACAGCGCCTTGAACTGGGAGTTAATTATAAATGCACCTGGTTAATTAAGGTGGCTCTGGCCTCTGTGACACCGCGGGCCATCCCTGCGGGGTGGGGACACAGGGGACAGTCAGAAAGGGCTGGTGGGACTCTGGATCCCCGTGGAGTGTTTTTGGGAGGGTCGGGGATGTCCCCTTGTCCCGTCCAGCGATGGGTCCAGGGTCCCGTGTCCTCCTCTTGTCCCCGTGTCTGTGGTGGCAGCTCCGGGCCGGGGCTGTCCCAGCTCCTCCCGGTCCTCCTCTTCCTCCCCTTCCTCCCCTGCTCCCGTTTTGTTTATCCCACTCCCGTCCTTTGCCCCAGGAATTCTCTCCCAAGGACGTCCCGGTCCCGCTCCGCCGGCTCGGGAAGGATTCGGTGTTTGGAACAACCCGTTCCCGACCGGGCTGAGGCGACACCGGCCGGTTCTGTCCCCGCACCCCAAATCACCCTGGAGACCCCAAATCCACCCTGGGGACCCCAAATCCACCCTGGGGACCCCAAACCCCGGCGGGCGCCGCAGGGACGAGGCCGAGCTCGGGGCCGCTCCTTTAATCCAAAGCGGGGACACGGAGGAGGACACGCGGGGGACAGGACGGGTCCCATCCCCTCGGGCGGGCTCTGGGGACTGTGCCAGCCCCGGGCTCCTCTCTCTGTCCCCAGCGATGTCCCTTCCCAGGGTCGCTCCTACCGCAGCAGCAGCTGGAAGCCGTCGGGGCCGGGGGCTGCGGGGGGACGCGGCTCAGCCGGGGCCACCGATCGCCCCCTGCCCGCCCGGGACCCCCGGTACCTTTGCCGATCGCCACCACGAAACTCGTCTCGTCCTGGAGGTTCCTGATCATCTGCGGGGCAGAGGGGGAGCTCAGCGGGGCTCAGGGGGGCTGGGACCCTCCTGCTCCAGCACTGGGGACCCCGAGGGGCCGGGGCGGCTGCGGGGTCTGTCCCTCCCGTCCCCGGCTGTCCCCGTGTCCTCACCGCGTCGCTGACGAGGACGTGGATGCCGGCGGGTCCCTGCCGGGAGAGCCGCAGGATCTGCCCCGGGGGCAGCGCCAGCAGCTCCGCCAGCTTCGAGGTGAGCTCGGCCACCGTCAGCTGCTCCAGGTGCAGCTCCTGGTACAGCCCTGGAGAGGAGGGGGGGATGGGGATGGGGATGGGATGGGTGCCCATCCCTGGGCTGCCGCACACCTGAGCCCCTCTCTGCACACCTGAGCCCCTCCCCGCACACCTGAGCCCCCTCCCCGCACACCTGAGCCCTCCTCACCTGCTCCCGCATCCTCCACACTCTCGGCCCCGCCGGGCTCCCGCGCCACGTACAGGGTCAGCCGGGGCCGCGGGCACCTGAGGGGGCACAGAAGGCTCTGGCGGGGGGCCAGGATGCTGCCGAACCCCGAGGAACCTCCCGGGGGTCCCCAAAAAGCGGCAGCGGGGGCGCGGGAGCCTCACCTGCCCGCCAGGGCGTGGCAGAGGCGGATGCCGTCGGGGGCTCCGCAGATCTGGATCAGGTCCCTGCGGGAGAGCTTCAGCAGATCCGCACCTGCGGACAGGGGGGCTCAGGGGGCGGCAGAAGGGGGGCCCGGCTCTGCCCCCCAGCCCGGCCCGGTCTCTCACCGCTGAAGTTGGCGAAGACGCGGGCACAGGAGGAGAAGCGGCGCCGGAGCAGCCACTGCTGCGTCTCCAGGGGGGATGCGCAGGGGCTCAGCGCCTGTGGGGGCTCAGCGGGGGCTCAGCGGGGCACGACCCGAGCGGGCACAACCTCAGCCCCTCCTGGGGGGCCGGGGGAGGCTCCGGGGGGCTCCCTCACCTCGCCAGGACTCTCCGCGGGGCTCTCGGCAGCGCAGGCGGGTGACAAGCACACCCTGCGGGGGGGGGGGGGGCTTAGAGGGGGGCCCCAGAATTGGGGGAGGGGGGGGCTTAGAGGGGGACCCCAGAATTGGGGAAGGGGGGGTCCAGGGGTCCCCGCTCACCTCTCGGGGCTCAGCAGCTTGAAGGGGTGCGGGGACGGCAGCCCCGGGTTGCCCGGGGGGGTGTGGGGGGCACCCAGCACGTCCGGCCACGGGGGGCACTGAGGAGGAAGGGGGTGATGGGGGCAGGGTCCCGGGGGCACCCTCGGCCCACGGGGGGTGCCAGGGCCGGGCCCCACCTCGGCCAGCACGGTGCTCTCGTAGGCCGGCTGGAATTTCTCCCTCTCCGCCGCAGGCTGCTTCTCCACCTTCTCCCGGTCCGTCTTCTGCTTCCTATCGGCCCCCTTGGGCTGTGCCGGGGCGTGAGGGCGGCCCCGGGACCCCCCGGGACCCCCGCGGGTACCCGGACCCTTGGGGTGCCCAGACCCCGCCATGCACCCACCCCCCAGCCCAGAGCTGGATCTCCCGGTAGTGGGGGGGCACTGGGAGCACTAGGAGCACTGGTTTTCCCCCCACCCCCCGATACCTTGAACACCTTGACCAGGCAGCTGGCGGAGTGCAGGTGCTCGGGGGGGTCCCCCTTGCCCCCCGCCCCGAAGGTGTCGATCTGGATGCGGAAGGGGACCCCCTTCTCCCCCCCGTTCTTCCTCAGCGTGAACTCGGTACTGATGCAGTGAACCTGGGATGGGGGGGGGAATAGCAGGGTCGGGACCGGGCGCTGTGACTCCTCCAGGACCCCCCCGAGCCCCCCCAAAACCCCGCCCAGGCCTGGCTCCCACCTGCACGAACACGGATGTGCGTCGGGAGGGGTCCCAGAGGAATTCCACCGTGTTGAGCAGCGTGGGGTGGATTTGGGGTTCCAGGATCCCGACGGAGAGGGGGATGTCTGCAGAGCGGGGTCAGCACGGCCCCTGCAGCCCCCCCGGGCCCTCCCCCCAGCCCCGGCACCCACCGATGTCGAGGATCCGGTCGCCCGGGCGGCTCCAGCGCCAGCCCTCGAGCTGCTGCTGCTCCGAGTACTGGAGGCGGCGGTCGTGGAAAACCACGCGGAGCACGCTCTGGACAGGGGCGGCCACGGCCACGGCCACGGCCTGAGCCACGGCCACGGCCCCGCCGGACACGGGCTGGACTGGGGCTGGACTGGGGCTGAGCTGGGGCAGAACTGGGACTGGACTGGGGCTGGACTGGGGCTGGGCTGGGGCTGAGCTGGGGCTGAGCTGGGGCTGAGCTGGGGATGGATTGGGACTGGGGATGGATTGGGACTGGACTGGGACTGGACTGGAGCAGAACTGGGGCTGAGCTGGGGCTGCACTGGGTCAGAACTGAGGCTGGACTGGGGCTGAGCTGGGACTAGCTACACTGGAGATGAACCAGGGCAGAGCTGGGGTTGGACTGGGGCTGGGCTGGGGCTGAGCTGGGGCAGAACTGGAACAGGACTGTGGCTGAGATGGGGCTGAACTGGGGCAAAATTGGGGCTGGACTGGATAGGACTGGGGCTGAAATGAGACTGAACTGGGGCTCAGATGAGAATTGGGTAGAACTGGGTCTGGACTGGGGTTGTGAGGAGGCAAAACTGGGTCTGGACTGGGACTGAACCGGGTCTTCAGCCCAGAGCTTTGCCCCGAGGCTCCCCCACGCCCCCACCCCGCTCACCTTGACCATCCTGCGGCCCTCGGCAGGGTCCCCCCGGGGCGTCCCCATCATGCGGATCTCGTACGATTGCCCTGGGGGAGGGGGCCGGGAGCGGGAGCTGAGCCCTCAGCGGGGGGGTCCCACCTCCCCGGCGCCCCCAGACTCACCCTGGTTGAGGTAGGTGAGGGTCTCCTCGTGGTGCCGCACAGCCGGGGAGGTCGGGGCACACAGGATGTACTGGAAGGGCGGCAGCGATGTGGAGATGCCGTTGGGCTCCTCCTGCTTCAGGTAGGGCAGGACCGGGGTGTCCCTGCGGGAAAACACCCCCCGAAAAGGGTGGGAGCTCGGCCGTGCCTCAGTTTCCCCAAACCCAGCGGATTTGGGGGGTACCTGAGCACCCCCGAACTGGGCAGGGGGTACATGTCCCCAGGGCTGGACCAGCAGTGGTCGGGTTGGCCGTGCCAGAAGAGCATGGTGGGGGTGCAGGGGGGACACCCCGCAAAGCAGAGGGTGACAGCAGACAGGGACAGGCGGGTGGCCCCACCCCCATTTTATAGGCACGGGGAGGGTGATGTGAGCGGGGCTGGGCCCGGTTTGGCCCAGTTGGGACCAGTTTGGGGTGTTGACAGTAAACACTGGGGAGGGAGGGGCACCGTTTGCTGTCAATAGAATGGGGGGGACACCAGAGCTCCCCCAGTCCCTTTGTCCCAGCCAAACCCCCCCTTGTGTGTCCTGCCACCACCCCCCTTTTAACCCCTTTAATTTCTGCCAGGTTTGGCTCTTTTTGGGCAGAAAAAGGGTGTTTGCTAAGCCCCCAGTGTGGGGGGGGTCAGTGGGTGCTGTGTTCCCCACTCGGGTGTTGAGGTGTCAGATTTGGGGGGGGGTCTATGGATGCTGTCCCCCCTCATGGTGACACTGGGATGTGACACAGGGGTGTCACACACGGACCCATCACTGATGAGCTGGGAGGGTCTCAGCTCCATTTTGGGGTGGGGGGGACCCTCCCCAGCTCACTGAACCCCCCCAGGTGGGCCCAGAGCCCATCCAGGCCGTGTCTGTCTGTCTGTCCAGCCATTCCCAGTGTGGGATGGGGCTGGCAAGGAGCTGCTGGGGGAGTTTGGGTGTCCCCCAGCCCCTCAGCTCCTCCCTGAGCCTTTGGGGGGGTTGAGGGGGTCCCCTGTGCCCGGGGCTGTGGGGAAGGGTGCCCCAGAGGGACCCCCAGCAATTCCCCGTCCCCTCCCCACTGCAGACACGGAGACTCGGCGGGAAGAGTCCGGGATGTTTTATTGGAGGCCCGGGGATGGAACAGGCTGGGAGCAGGGGACAGCCCGAGGTCACTTCTTGGCCTCCTCCTCCTTGGACAGGGTTTTGATGATCTCCTCCTTCTTGGCCTGCAGCCGCTCCTCCCGGCGCTTCCGCGCCTCCTTGGTCTTGGAGCGCCGCGCTTCCGCCTGGTCCCTGCGGGGTCGGGGCCGTCAGGAACCCGGGGCGGCCCCAGAACAGCCCCAAACCACACAGAACAGCCCCACACCACCCAAAATCACCCAGAGCAGGCCCCCAACACCCAGAAACAGCCCCACAACACCCAAAATCACCCAGAGCAGCCCCAGAACAGCCCCAAACCACACAGAACAGCACCACACCACCCCAGAAACAACCCCACACCATCCAGAACAACCCCACAACACCCTGCCCCACAACCCCACACCCCCTGACCCCTGTCCCCATCTCCCTGGGCCCTGCTGTCCCACAGCAGCAGCTGGTTTGGGGTCACGTGTCTCTGCTGAACCCCAGAGTGATGAGATTCAGCTTTTCCCCCCAAGGACACAGCGGGATTTTGCAATCCCTCCCCTCCCCTGGTCAATCATTCACCCACCACAGCAGTGATCAGGAATCTCCCAGTTCCCACCTCAGGAAAACCCCACCACAACCCCACATTTCCCTGCCCAGTTTGGGATCAATTCCTCCCAGAACCCCCCTGGAATGACCCACAGGGAGGGGATTTATTCCTGACAATCCCTCCTGCCTGCAGCAGGACTTACGCCAGGAGCTTCTTGCGGGCTTTGTCGGCCTTCAGCTTGTGGATGTGCTCCATGAGGATCCGCTTGTTCTTGAACACGTTGCCCTTGACCTTCAGGTACAGGCTGTGGTACCTGTGGGGCACAGCGGGGTGGGGACATCAACACCTGCCTGGGAGCACTGGGATGGACTGGGAGCACTGGGATTAGGGGATGTTCCCACCCTGCTGGCAGCGTGGGAAGTGCAGGGCCAAGGATTCAGGGCTCACCCCAGCCCGTGCTGGGAGAACTGGACCTGTCCAGGGACTGCTCTGGCCTATACTGGCAGCAGTGGCCCTGTGCTGTGCCTAACCCTAACCCGCCTTCCTGAGGCTGGGGTTGCCCAGGGAGGGCTGGGAATAGCTAGGGATGCCCAGGGAATGGGCAGGGTTGCCCAGGGAGGGCTAGGAATGGCTAGGATTGCCCAGGGAATGGCTGTGGTTGCCCAGGGAATGGGCAGGGTTGCCCAGGGAGGGCTGGGAATGATCAGGGCTGCCCTGAGAACAGCCAGGGAATGGCTGGGGCTGCCCAGGAAATGGTTGGGATTGCCCAGGGCATGTCCAGGCTTGCCCAGGGCAGGTGGCACGCCGGGCTCGGGGGCACAGGGCTCACATGTGGCGGTCGATCTTCTTGGACTCGCGGTAGCGCCGCAGCAGCCGCCGCAGGATCCGCATGCGCCGCATCCAGGTGACCTTCTCGGGCATGCGGGCGTTGGCCGTGCCCTTCCTCTTGCCTGGAGGGGGGGAATGGGGTGAGAGGGAGCCCCAAATTCCTGCCTGCTCAACCCCACCCTCATCCCAAAGCTTTCCATCCTCCCCTTCAGCTCAAAGAAACAACCACTGGCACAAGGCAGAGGTTTCCTGCAGCCCAAACCCAGGAGGTGATTCCCAGGGTGAGGGAGCAGCAGGAGCTGTGGGAGGTGGGGAATTCCCCATTCCCAGGGGATGAAGCACTCAATTCCCCCATCCCCAGGGGATGCAGCACGCCCTAATGTGGATTTCCCCTGTTCCCAGGGACATGGGGTACTCCTAGATGTGGATTTCCCTACTGTCAGGGGGATGCAGCACCCCAGATGTGGATTCCCCCATTTCCAGGGGCATGGGGCACTCAGTTTCCCCATTCCTAGGGGCACAGGGCGCTCAATTCCCCCGTCCCCAGGGGCACAGGGCACTCAGTTTCCCCGTCCCCAGGGGCACAGGGCACTCAGCCCAGGGGCACGGGGCACTCTCCGATGTGAATTTCCCCCAGTCCCAGAGGGATGCAGCACTCAATTCCCCCATTCCAGGGGCACAGGGCACTCAATTCCCCCGTTCCCAGGGGCACAGGGCACTCAATTCCCCCGTTCCCAGGGGCACAGGGCACTCAGTTTCCCTGTCCCCAGGGGCACAGGGCACTCAGTTTCCCTGTCCCCAGGGGCACTCACCGATGCCCATGTGCCTGCCCTTCCTGCGTGCCAGTGTGTTCTTCCTGCAGCGGGCGCGGGAGTGCACGGTCACGGGCTTGCGGATGATCAGCCCATCCTTGATCAGCTTCCGGATCTGCTGCCCTGCAACAGCACCCAAACGCTGCTGGGGGCTGCCAGGGAGCACTGACCCCAGCCCACGGGCATGGAGAGCAGCCAACAGCACGGACAAGGCAGCGCCCCTGCTCAGAGCCCTGTTCTCCCTCTCCTCAGGGCAGTTCCCCCTCCTCACAGCCCTGTTCTCTTCCCATCAGAACCACATTCCCCCCTCCTCTCAGAGCTCTGTTCTCCTCCTCCCCAAAGCCCTGTGTTCCCTTCCTTACGCTCTGTTCTCCCCCCTCTCAGAGCTCTTCCTCTCCTCAAAGCCCTGTTCTCTCTCCCTCAAAGCTCTGTGTTCCCCCTCCTGAGAGCCCTGTTCTCCCTCTCTCAGGGCCCTGTTCTTCCCCCCGTCAGAGCCCTGTGTTCTTTCTCCTCACAGCCTTGTTCTCCCCCTCCTCAAAGCCCTCTTCTCCCTTCTTTACAGCTCTGTTCCCCCTCCCAGAGTCCTGTTCTCCCCCTCCTCATGGCCCCGTTTCCCCTCCTCTCACAGCCCTGTTTTTATCTTCCTCACAGCCCTGTGTTCCCTTCCTCGCAGCTCTGTTCTCCCCCTCCTCAGAGCCTGTTCTTCCTCCCTCAGAGCTCTGTGTTCCCCCTCTCAGGTCCATGTTCTCTCCTCCCACTCAGAGTCCTGTTCCCCCCTCTCACAGCCCTGTTCTCCCCCTCCCCAGACCCCTGTGTTCATCCCCCCCCAGCCCTGTTTTCCCTCCTGTTTCTCCCACTGAACCTCCAACAATCCCAACTCCCTCACTGATTACCTCAGAACACATCACCAGCCACCTCATCACTGCAAATCCTGAAAATCCCCACTTTAACCTGCACATAATTTGCTAAATTCTACCTAAACCAAAGCTTGAACCAAACACTTTTGAGAGATCTTTCCCATACTCAACCTAAACCAACCCCACCACTACCAAGCTCCCCAAAACCTCTGCTCCCCCCCTCCTGCAGGATCCCCTTCCCCAGACCCCCTGACGTACGGGAGTTGGCGTTGGCGATCTCGTTGGTCTCGTTGGGATCGAGCCACACCTTCTTCTTGCCGCAGCGCAGCACGCTGGAGGCCAGCCTCTTCTGGAGCCGGAGCATACTGGGGAGAAATGGGCACGGATCAGGGGGGGCTGCACCCACCGCGGGACCCACAGCCCCCTCAGGGACCCCTGACCCCCCTTTAGGGACCCTACAGCCCCCTCAGGGACCCCTGACCCCCCCCTTTAGGGACCCTACAGCCCCCTCAGGGACCCCTGACCTCCCTTTAGGGACCCTACAGACCCCTCAGGGACCCCTGACCGCCCTTTAGGGACCCTACAGACCCCTCAGGGAACCCTGACCCCCCCTTTAGCCCCTTCAGAGACCCCTGACCCCCTGTTCTCTCTCCCTCAAAGCTCTGTGTTCCCCCTCCTGAGAGCCCTGTTCTCCCTCTCTCAGGGCCCTGTTCTTCCCCCCGTCAGAGCCCTGTGTTCTTTCTCCTCACAGCCTTGTTCTCCCCCTCCTCAAAGCCCTCTTCTCCCTTCTTTACAGCTCTGTTCCCCCTCCCAGAGTCCTGTTCTCCCCCTCCTCATGGCCCCGTTTCCCCTCCTCTCACAGCCCTGTTTTTATCTTCCTCACAGCCCTGTGTTCCCTTCCTCGCAGCTCTGTTCTCCACCCTGACCCCCCCTTTAGCCCCTTCAGAGACCCCTGACCCCCCTTCAGGGACTCTACAGACCTCTCAGGGACCCCTGACCCCCCTTCAGGGACCCTACAGACCTCTCAAGGAACCCTGATCCCCCCTTTAGGGACCCTACAGCCCCTTAAGGACCCTTAACCTTCTGCTTTAGCTCCGTCAGGGACCCCTGATCCCCGTTTAGGGACCCCTGACCCCCCCTTTAGGTACGCTACAGACCCCTCAGGGGTCCCTCAACCCCCCTTTAGCTCCCCTTTAGCTCCCTCAGGGACCCCTGATCCCCCTTTAGGGACCGTCACCCTCCCCTGGGAGGGTCCTCACCTCCACCAAGGGATCCTTCGCTCCCCTTAGGGCCCCCAGCGCGGCCATGGCGCCCCTCCGCCATTTTCCCGCCAGGCCTCAGGAGGCCGCGGCCGCCTCACAGCGCCCGGGGCCGTCATCCAGCACTGCCCGGGCGCCGCCCCGGTTCTGAGGAGACTCCCCCGCTGCCCTCCAGCCCTCCCCAGTGCCTCCTGACCCCCGTTCTCCCCCGAGCAGCGGCCACAGCCCCGCTCCCACCTCATGGCGGCGGCGGCGCCGGGGCCGGAGAGACGCAGCGGCGGCGCTGACCCCGCCCCCTGCGCGCGGCACGTACCACCGCACCCTCCCCCCCGCTCCCGTTCCCGCCGTCTTGCCGCAGCCCGAAACGCAATGAAGGAACAACCGCCATTAAATCACGCGTAGCCGCTCATCTAAAGGATGGAAACCCACGCGGGATACGTGGGAGAGAGGTGGGTCCTTCCCGGCTCCCCCCTCGGCTGTAGAGGGATGGTACAGCCCGCGCGTGCGTGGCGGGAAGGGCTGGGTGGGGGCTGCGCATGCGCGGTGGGAGCGTGGGAGGCACGTGGAGGGAGCGCTGGGAGGGACTGGGATGGACTGGGATGGATTGGGATGGAACTGGGATGGAACTGGAATGGACTGGGATGGAACTGGGATGGACTGGGAGCACTGAGATGGACTGGGACGCACAGGGAGGAACGGAGATAGACTGGATGGTCTGGGATGGACTGGGATAGACCGGGAGGGACTGGGATAGACTGGGAGCACTGAGATAGACTGGATGGACTGGGAGGGACTGGGATGGACTGGGAGGGACTGGGATGGACTGGGAGGGACTGGGATGGACTGGGAGGGACTGGGATGGACTGGGAGGGACTGGGATGGACTGGGAGGGACTGGGATGGACTGGGAGGGACTGGGATGGACTGGGAGGGACTGGGATGGACTGGGAGGGACTGGGATGGACTGGGAGGGACTGGGATGGACTGGGAGGGACTGGGATGGACTGGGAGGGACTGGGATGGACTGGGATGGACTGGGATAGACTGGGATGGAACTGGGATGGACTGGGAGCACTGAGATGGACTGGGATAGACTGGGATGGATTGGGAGGGACTGGGATGGAACTGGGATGGACTGGGATAGACTGGGATGGACTGGGATGGACTGGGATGGAACTGGAATAGACTGGGATAGACTGGGAGCACTGAGATAGACTGGATGGACTGGGATGGACTGGGATAGACTGGGATGGAACTGGGATGGACTGGGAGCACTGAGCCACCCCGGGACGGACAGGGAGGAACGGAGATAGACTGGATGGACTGGGATGGACTGGGATAGACCGGGAGGGACTGGGATAGACTGGGAGCACTGAGATAGACTGGATGGACTGGGAGGAATGGGGATGGAACTGGGAGCGCTGGGATGGACTGGGAGCACTGGGGCTAAAGTCACCTGGCTATCCCTGAAAATCACCTGGTGAACCCCCAAAATCACCCGATTATCCCCCAAAATCACTTGGTTACCCCCAAGATTGCCTGGTTATGCCCTAAGATCATCTGGTTAGAGACCTGAAATCACCTGATTACTCCCCAAAATCAGCTGGTTACCCCCGAAATCACCTGGTGAACCCTGAAATCACCAGGTGAACCCCCAAAATCACCTGATTATTCCCTGAAATCCCACCCCTTGAAGTGCCACCAAGCCCTCTGGAAGTGCCACCAAGCCCTCTGGATGTGCCACCTTGTGCTTCCCAAGGCTCCCAGGAGGAGGAGAAGCAGCTGAGCCCAAATTTGGGAGGTTTCAGGTCGGGCTGCTGCGTTCCCGGCGCGTTTTCCGAGGAGTTTTCCATCCTTCTTTTGGATTTTTGGGAATATCCGTGCCTGGAGGCTCATGAAGCTCCTCCCGGGAGCCGAGGAGAGGAGGAGGAGGAGGAGGAGGAAGAGGAGGAGGAGATGCCGTGACTGTGCCAATCTCCCGCTTCCACCCCCGGGCACGATCCCGGCTGGAAGAACCCCCCCACAAAAAAAACCAAAAAAACCCCAAAAAAACCCAAAAACCCCCCACCCCCAGAGCCCCTCCAGGGCTTTCATCTCCATCCAGGGCACGGGGGTCCCTGGGGTGACCCCGAGCCCCCCCCCGGCTGCTGAGGGAGGGGGGCCGAGGGTGGGAAATGAAAATTCGCTGCCAGCTGTCCCCAGGGGTGGGGACAGGAAAATCCCCTCTGCCCTGGGGAGGGGGGGACAAGGAGGAATTTGGAACTTTCCGACAGCCGGAGGGAGGGGACAGCAGCGAGGGGACACAGCTGGGGACGGGGGTTGTCACCAGGGTAGGGGGGGGGGTTGTCCCCAGTGTGGGAGATTGTCCCCAAGGTGGGGGGGATTGTCCCCAAGGTGTAGGAATTGTCCCCAGGGTGTGGGAGATTGTCCCCAGGGTGGGGGGAATTGTCCCCAGAGTGGGCCTCCTCCTCCGTCACCGCGGGGGCCAGGCCTGAGCTTCATCGTCATCATCTTCCTCCGTGTGTGTGTGTGTGTGTGTGCGTGTGTGTGTGTGTGTTCCCCCCCCCCGAATTTCCAACCGCCCACCCATCCCCAAAATCCCCCCCCAAAAAAACCCAAACCGCGGCGGTGGCGGCGCTCCCATGGTGCGGGAAGGCGGCATGGCGCGGACCCCCTCGAGCTCCACGCAGGACATCCAGATGGACGTCTTGGACAACGCCGCCCTCCAGGTGACACCCCCGATGCTTTTTTTTATTTGGGGGGGGGGGGGCGACACGGTAGGCACCCCTCCAGAGGAGTGGGGGGCGTCCCGTGGGTTTCGGCGCTTCCCCCCCAAATTCTCGTGGTGGTGCCGCCCCCCGCTCCCGGGGTGATAAATATTAAATAATAAATTAAAAAATTAAGGGGGGGGGGATCTCCAAATGCGCGTGTCCCCCCCCCCCCCCCCCCCCCCTCATTTTTTTTTTTTTTTTTTTTTTGGGGGGGGGGTGTTGCGCCCAACGGGAAAGTTTTGGGAATTGGGAAAACTCTTGGGGTGCTCCCCCCGCCCCCCCGCTTCCCTCGGTTTGTCCCCTCTGGTTTGGGGGGAGCAGGGACAGTCCCCTCGCTGTCCCACAGGGGTGGGGGGCGCTGGGGACAGACCCCTCCCCATCTCTGTGCTCTTGGGGGGCACCAATTGAGGAGGGGGGTGACGGTTTTT